ACTTGAAGATTTTTTGGCAGAATATGATGAAATTATAAGGCAATTAAATGCTACAGGGGCGGATTTAAAAGAACAGGATGTTGTTTATACTTTGTTGCTTGCTATGCCCAAAATGTTCGAAACAGTTATAACTATATTGGAAAATGTATTACCACAAGATTTAACTATGAATTTGGCCAAAGCTAAGTTGAGAGCCGAAGCTGAAAGAAGAAAAGCATTATATGAACCCAGTAGTACAAGTAGCAGTGACAGACGAGACAATGTAACCCCATCAGCCTTTTCAACCCAACAATCAGGAGTATGTTATTCCTGTGGCCAAAGGGGCCATTATAAGAAAGATTGTAGGAATCAAAGACCAGTATATAATCAATCAAGAGGACACAGAAATTTTGGTCGTGGTGGTGAACAAGGTGGTTTTGACCAAGCACGAGGTAGCAATAGAGGATTTGGAGGTTTTCGAGGAGGTTTTAGAGGAAATTTTCGAGGAAATGGTTTTAATCGAGGTGGTTACAGAGGTACAGGCTATAGAGGAACTGGTTACAGAGGAAATTATAATGGACATGGGTAATATCAAAACAGGAACAATGATAGAGGTGCAAATTACATGGAAAATACAGAAAAAGCAGGACAAAGTGAGTTTCAAGATGACAAAAATTTCAGTTTTATGTCAGATTTGGATTTAAATGTAGAAAGCTGTAAAAATGTAAGTAATCAAAATTTGTTATTTTATATTGACTCGGGATGTACTGACCACTTGATTAATGATAGAAAATATTTTTATGATTTTATGAAATTGAAAAATCCTATAAAAATAGCTGTTGCTAAAAATAATAATTATATGGAAGCAGTTGGAGTAGGTAATATTGAAGTATTGAATAACGTAAACGGAAAAGATGTAAAATGTACAATTAAAAATGTTTTTTATGTTCCTAATTTAAGAAGAAATTTACTTTCAGTTAAAAGGTTAGAAATTGCAAATATAAAGGTTGTATTTGAGAATGGAAAAGTGTCAATGTATAGTGGAAATATTTTGATTGGAATTGGTTACAGAAATAATTTATATGAAATAATTTTTAAAGTAAATAATGTAGAATCATTAAATATAGAAATTGAAAATGATGAATTGAAATTATGGCATAAAAGATTAGGTCATGTTTGTAATGCAAATTTAGAAAAATTAATCAAAAATAATCTGGTAACTGGTATAAAAAATGTAAAGGTAGGTAAAGTAGAATTTTGTGAATCTTGTATACAGGGTAAAATGACCAGATTGAATTTTGGAACACGCACTAAAGCTAAAAGAGTACTCGAAATAGTGCATACAGATGTTGCAGGTCCAATAACTCCAAGTAGTCATGAGGAAGGTAAGTATTTTGTAACCTTTATTGACGATTTTTCAAATTTTATTTATGTGTATGTCATTAAAGCAAAGAGTGAAGTGTATGGATGTTTCAGAGAGTATGTGAGAATGGTTCAGGCTAAGTTTGGTTCAAAATTATCCACACTAAGATGCGACAACGGAAGGGAATATATTTCAAATGAAATGAAGCAATTTTGCAGAGAAAATGGAACATTTATTGACTTTACAACACCATATACGCCCGAACAAAATGGTAAAGCTGAACGTTTTAACAGAAGCCTTGTAGACAAAGCGAGAGCTATGATTCATGATGCTAAAATGCCAAAGGAATTCTGGAGCGAAGCAGTAAGAATGGCGGCATATATTCTCAACAGAAGTCCAAGTAGTGTTTTACAAGTTACACCAGCTGAAATATGGAATCAAAAGAAACCAGATATTAGCAATTTGAAAGTATTTGGCTGTACAGCATATTGTCATGTTCCAAAACAATTTAGAAGTAAGTTTGATTCAAAGGCAAAGAAGTGCTTGATGCTTGGATATACATTAACCGGATATAGACTTTGGGATATTATGGAGCAGAAGGTAGTCATTGCAAGAGATGTAATATTTAATGAGAATAAATTTTATTATAAAAATGATGAAGTAGAGACAGAAAGAAATATAACGAATGTTGATAATAAAAATGTAGTAATAAAAGAAAGCGAAGATGAACAAGAAATACAGGAAGAGAGACAAGAAATACAAGAAGAAGAAGAAATAGACGATAGAAGACAAGAAATACAAGGACCAAGAACTAGACGAGTACCAAGTAGATACAACGATTTTGAAATGTACATGGCTTTTGACGCAATGTCATATGTTGAAAATGTGCCTACAACAGTGGAAGAATTGATTGATAGAAGAGATAAGGACTTATGGAGAGAAGCGATGACAAGAGAAATTGATTCAATTGAAAAGAATAAAACATGGACAGAAATAGAAACTCCCAAGAATGCTGAAATACTGAATACAAAATGGGTATTCACCAAGAAACCATTGGAAGAACAAATAAAAG